TGCTGAGGTTGAGAAAACACCATTTTAAACAGCCAGCTGCTGGCCTGAGCAATGGGTACTGCCTATAAATTTTATAAATAAAAAAATAAATAATTTTATTTCTATACCGCCCTTCTCCCGAAGGACTCAGGGCGGTGTACAGCCTATTAAAAACACAAAGACAAACATCAGTTAAAAATAATTAAAATTATTACATAATTCGGCTGAAATTTAAAACCCCAATAATTTAAAACCCAATTTAAAAATCATTAAATTGATAGCCCGGCTTGGCGGAACAGCAGGGTCTTGAGGGCACAGTGAAATACACGGAGGTCGGAGATCTTGCGCATTTCCGGGGGCAGTTCATTCCACAGGGCAGGGGCTCCCACAGAGAAGGCCCTCCCCCTGGGTGTCGCCAGCCGACATAACTTGGCAGATGGCACCCTGAGGAGACCCTCTCTGTGGGAGCGAACTGGCCGGTGGGAGGCTGTTTGTGGCAGAAGTCGGTCTTGAAGGTACCTGGGTCCTATGCCATGGAGCACTTTAAAGGTGGTGACCAACACCTTGAATCGCACCCAGAAGACCATTGGGAGCCAGTGCAGCTCGCGCAGGAGGGTGTCACGTGGGCACAACGGGTTGCGCCCATAACCACTCGTGCGGCCGCATTCTGGACCAGCTGGAGCCTCCGAGTGCTCTTCAAGGGGAGCCCCATGTAGAGACTATTACAATAGTCCAGCCGGGAGTGACCGTGCGCAAGGCATCCCGGTCCAGAAAGGGCTGCAACTGGCGAATCAGGCGAACCTGATAAAAAGCCCCCCTGGTCACGGCCGTCATATGCTCTTCTAAAGACAGCTGTGCGTCCAGGAGGACGCCAAGATTGCGAGCCCTCTCTGTGGGGGGCAAAGATTCACCCCCAATAGTCAGCGATGGCACCAGCTGACTATATCGGGAGCCAGCAGCCACAGCCACTCGGTCTTGGAAGGGTTGAGTCTGAGCCTATTTCTCCCCATCCAGACCCGCACGGCCTCCAGGCAGTGAGACATCACATCAAAGGCATCGTTGGGGTGGTCTGGGGTGGAGATGTACAGCTGAGTGTCATCAGCATACTGATGGATTCTCACCTCAAAACCACGGATGATCTCACCCAGAGATATATTCTACAAGTGGAGGTGGAATATACCCATATATTCCACCTCCACTTGTAGTCATTCCATCCCTGAATATATTTGAAATAGGACATGTGAAACATTGCAGATACTCATAGTACAGCATATAATTACTCAGTAGCAGCACTACTGCAGCTCAAGAAATAATTGTCACTACCAAAGTTGCCTTCTCAAGTTATTTTAGGGCAAATAAGAGTTCTGTCAAAGGCCACATAAAAGCAAAAGTCATAATATCCCCCTTTTTTCCCCAAAGCAGCATGTATCTACCAGCTTACCAGCTATTGGGCAACAATGGCAGTGGGTGGATTATGTTTCCTGTTTATGATCTTCCCTAAATAGAATAAGCCAAAATATTCTTACAAACTGAATTAAATGTTTAGATGTCCAGAGCAGGATATTTCAAATATTAATGTTTCATCTTTCTGGAAATATAACAGAAATTCATACCTCTGAATCTTTCTAGCTTTGTATTTAAGGCAGCTGATTGACCGTAATCAGAACTGATTCTGTGTTTCATGACACAGAAAGATACAATAAAGTAGTAGCAACCTGGGAACTTCTTTATAGGATGCCAACATGACACTTTTTATCTTGCCCCCAAATGAGGAGAGCTATGCAATCACACAGAAAAGTGTGGGAGGTCTGGCAACATCAATTGCTAGGTAATCAGTTATGGTATAAGAACCTCTTGTTTTCAGAATATGTTTGACAAACGCAAAATTGGCATAGATTACAGATAGATCAAGCAGATGGAAAGTGGGAGGAAAATATCAGCCATCTACCTAGCTGATTAAAGAAGAAAAAACAGACATAAAGAGATTGATTGTGTATGCATGAATATATTTCTATCTATAAAGTTGTAATAAAGAAAGTAGCAACTTTGAAAGTATCTATGGAGTTGTTACTTCTTTTTAATAGCTTGTTTCTTGTCCCTTATCAATTTTCAGAAGTTTGTCAGTCTTCTATCACCACCTACAGCCACTTCAGATGGTTGAAGTGTCTCACAGAGCCGAGGTTAAAAAAAATCAAGCTGGCTCTTATTGCAGAATAAAACTAAAATTATTTATAAGATGCTGCCACCTATCCATCATTTTCCTTGACAATAACAGAACCCAAATAATACCAATCTCATATTGCTTAGAAAGAGAACTCAAGGCTGCATGTGATTCTAATTATTTATTTTATGTAAGGAAATTTTTAACTTAATACCTAAAAGGGGGAAAAGACACACAGAGAGACAGCTACTGTAGTGAGTTTAACAACAGGGGAAAATGTCCGTTGTGCTAATTGAAGCAAAATTAACTAGATTTAAACAATAGTTTGCTTTTACTTGTGAGGCTGAGTAACTGTTATGGAAAAATGAAGAAAAATGAAGTAAGCAATGGAAACATAATATTATTTAGTTAATACTCGACTACAGCAAAAACTGACATTTTGCATTTTCTTTCGATTTTTGTATTTCTTCTTCTCATTTCCTGCATTATATAGCTAATTATATAGCAAACATTTCTTTTCAAAATTGGACTTATTCTACTTAAAACTCTGCGGTTTGGATACAGTTAGTTTTCTTGACCCAATTCATGCATGCATGCATGCATACAACTGGCATGGCAATTGCTAGTTATTTGCTTAAAGAAGTACCAACACTTTGGATGATTTCATTTTAAGCATCTTAGTACAAACAGACCTACACCTTTATATACTATAACAGACACACACCTTTATATAGGAGAAAAGCGCTATGCACATTGCATGAGCTTCAGTACGATTGAGGCAGGGCTGAAAACCACCTTCAAGGGTCAGTCATGGATACTATAATTTGGTGAAAGCACAGTGATGCTAAAGCACTTGGCTCTGTTGCAGATCTGCATGTATATAAGTCTACCTTTGTAGAGTCAGTGCCGATTTAATGCTTCACCATGAAGTCAGACCATGACTGCCAAAAGGCACCAGTGGAGATTCTTTTCCTGAGAGGTTGGAAGAATGTGAAATACTTTCCCTCTATAACCTGGCCCTTCTCCTACAATCCTTCTGATAGATCTGGGAGAAACGCTGCATTCACATCATCCAGTCGCCCACCTATGCTCCCCCCCCCCTCAGCCCCTCAGTAGTTTCACAATGCAGCAGTGCCATTCAACTACTCTTTCGTTTTGAGATGTTGGATGACGGAGGAGGAGCACAGAAAGGGGGATTCCTTTCAGTGGGTGTGTTCTGCAGACATCCTGGAAAGGGCAACCTGGATCCATGCTTGATCACTGTTTTTTCACAGCAGTGCTTTTTAGGGTTGATTTTTTTCCCCCTTAAATCAATCCATCCTTCCCTTTGTCTTTTTCAGCCAGATAATACATGAGGATTATTGTTCCTTCTTTGCTGCTCCCCTTCTTCCCCAGAAGCACACCCATAGCCTCCCTTTGCAGATCCCATGCTTTTCCTCCCCTTTCTGCAGACAATCATATCAAATCAGCTGTTAAGCGTAGGAAAAAGATGATTCTTTAGAGTCTGCATAAAGACTGCATTTTAAAAAAAGCCCTCTTTGAAATATCTGCATAGGCAGACCCATAAGCTGACCCTCCAGATAGCAAAATCTGCACTACCATTTCTAATTTGTTGCAGTGCGTGTGTGTGTGTGTGTGTGTGTGTGTGTGTGGTGTGGTGTGCATGCATGCATTTTTTCTAAGGAGTTTCTTATTAACATTATGCCACTATCGTTATCCTTCAAAACACACATATGCAAGCACACACACACACACACACATGCACTTGCTACTTTCCCTCCTTTCCATGATAGAGGGAAATACAAATTTCTGCTCCAAACCATTCATCAGCTTTGCTGCAGCACTGTCACAGAGAAAACATGCCCAAAGAAGCTGCCGAAAGAATCCTAGACTGAACATGGTCCCCTCTTCCAAATGACACACATGGAATTACCACAGCCAGCTGGATTTATTTTACCTTTCTGCAGCAACAGGTCCCTAGGATGCAAGTGAGAATCCCAGAAGCAGCACAAAATCCCCTGAAAGTTCCTACCCTGGACAGCTACACAGGTAGTAAAGAGAGAGGAGGAAAGGGGAGGGAAGATGGGAGGGGAAGTGGGTGTGTTTACAAAGAGATGTGTGCAAAGGAAAAAAGGGGGGCAGACTTGAAAAGGAACCAGTGGACCTTCTAGACAGGGTCAATCTGACACTTAGCATCTCTACCTCCTGCCTACCTAGCTTCAATTTTCCATCCTGGTTTTGCCTTTCTTATTTGGGAACTTCCACCAAAGGCTATCTCTCACCCTCAATATTGGAGTAGCTTATCATAACACCCTGCAATTTCACACACACCATATCCTCTAAATATTATTACATATTATTACATCCTTGGGTCTTTTAGGTCAAGTGCTTCTTTTTCAATTTCCCCTCCTAGAGGTCTTGACTACTATGCCCATCAGCCGTGGCGAGCAAGCACAAAGCCTGCCGGCTGTGGGCGATGGGCTTCGCAGTGAAAGCACCTCTTGCACACGCATAAAAGCACACACACACACACACAGCTGCAATGGGTGGGCTCTCGGCAGCACGGAAGGGGGGAGAGGGCTGCTGTGTGATGGCTGCCCAGCCAGCCAGGCTAGCAGTCGTTAGCCGCCCAGCGAACGTTTCCATTCATTCCAACCAGACGCGTCCGCTTTTTTCGCTCCAGACTGGCTGGGTTGCAACGTGTCCGGCTTACTCCCCGAGACAGAGAGACCGACCGAAGAAGGGCCATCCAGCTGACGGATGCCCCCGCCGGGTTCCTGTTAGCGACCAAGCAGCGCTGCGGGCCGGACACAAAAGGCTCTCCCCGCGCTCTCATCCTCCCGCCGTTCTCCCTACCTACCTGCAGACCGAGCCGCTCGCAGCAACCCGGGTGACTTGATTCCGGGCGCCAGTCGAGCGCTCCTCCTGGCCGCCTTCTACCTCGTTCGCTCCTTCTTCCTCCCGCCGGGCCAGACACCGCGGATGCCGGCGATCACAGAGAGCTCTCCGCCGCCACCGAGACCATATCTGGAAAGCGCCAAGCGCTGGCGCCCCATGCAGCGCGGCGACAAGAGCAAGAAGCGCCCCCCTTGGAAGGAAGGAGTCGCAGGCGGGGGCAGACGCGCGCTTAAAGGAGGCGCGGCGGCGGCATTCCCCTCAGAGCGCCGCAGGACTCGCCCGCTCCTTCCTCCTTCCTAGCGCCTCCGGAGGCGGCGCGTCCCTTGCCTCCTTCCCGACGCCAGCTCTCTCTAGCCGGGGCGTCCCTGCTCCCTCCTGTTGCCCTGGCCTGCAGACGGGACAGGCGCGGGCGGAGGAGCTTCGCCCGCCTTTTCCACGTGTCTACAAATTGAGGCGAAGTCTAACCAGCGAGTTTTTCGCGCTCAGAGAAAGGGATTGAAGGAGCTCGGCTCGGCTTTCTCTGACCACCCTGACCGGCGGTGCTTTCTTTCTTTCTTTCTTTTTTTTCCCTTTCCTTTTATTTTTTCTTAACGGGGAGTGGGTGGCTGGGTGGGCGGGTCTCCTGTCGGTGCTGCAGAGAATATTTCCTGCCGCTACTATAGCGCAAGGAGCAGCCGCTTGTTTGCCAGAAGCTTTGAAATACAAGGCGGCGGAAAGCCACCACCCCCTCCGCCGTCAGCATGCGAGGCCCTCCTACCCACTCCTCAGAATGGCCACAGACGTTGCACGCGCACGCGTTCCTCTTTACTGCAGAGTTTTCGCAGTTCGCCTAAAGAACTCTTTAGTTGCACCGCGTGAATGAGAGGCAGCTTTGAACCGAGCCTATATATCTATTTCGGAGTCGCCCATGGCTTTGTAAAGTAGCCCGGGCGTCTCTTATTCACCTGTAGTGTAGTATATCACCTGTATAGTGGACCCGTTCTACCTGCAGTACGTTATTGATCCTTGTGCGCCGTAATGGCTGAACGGTCGATGTATTTAGATTATACAAGTCAGCGTTTCAGCTTGCATACACCGCACAGACACGTGTTGCATAAGCATTGCTTGAAGGTGGTCAGCAGTATGGGAGGAAAAAAAATCTCATGTGCAAAGGTTGTAGGAATTGAGCATGCTGACTGGAGAGAGAAAAAAGAGGGGGAACTTGAAGGTTTGTCACTAATAAAAAAGGGTCAAAGACTATCACTGTGCCCTTTGGGAACAGCTTTGTAAGTACAAGCAAGAGATTTTGGTTAAACATTAAAATAATTCAATAATAAGAATTTGCCAGTGAAAAAATTATCTAAAGGAAAAATAAGCTTCAGACCCTATTTTGCAGTTTCTAAGTGGACCCTAAGCATGCTTTTTTCTTTCATTCTATGGTTTTAAACCACAACCTCAAAAAAGGAAGAATGACCCGCATCCCTGATGATGTCAATACTTCTTAGCCTTCCCCTGTAGCCCTGGGAAACTTTTTTTTTTAAATAAATGCATAGAAATTGGTAGATTTGCGTTCTCAGACATTGCATTGAAACACTTGGACAACAACAACAACAAAAATACCACTACAAGATGTTTGGATGAAAGTTCCCGGAGAAAATGAGATTTTGAATGAAAAGATGCTGAAGATCTTATGGCCTTGTCTTTCAAGTTTCAACTATTTTTTTTTTAAGATGGGTTTTCAGCACTGACTACAACTTAGAACAAATATCAATAGGCTAAATATCACAGCAAATCACATACTCTTATTTTGACAAATCCTACTCTTGATATTGACAAATATTCCATTTCATTCCAAATAATACATGAGAAAATAAAGGATAATATATTCCCTTTAACTTTTTAAGAAATAGTCATTAAAATGGTTTACAATCTATGGTTTTGAGAAGTTAAAAAAACACTAAGTTGGCTTGCAAAACATGTTCTTGTATTGGAATCCTCTACATTACATTTTATGAAAATAAATGAGCACTCCAAATATACATGTACCAAAATTCCTTGTTCTGGCCATTATATCTTAAGAGATGTCTTCATCTGTATGGATTACCTTGGTATATACTCCAGTGTAATATCACTGGCAGAACATGTTTACTTGAGCTACATTCTTATTTCATCCTGCCCATGACAGAATCAGCCATTTGTCTAGTAGCTGACCACATAGGAGGTGATGGGAACTGTAATCAAACATATCTAGAGGGCACCAACCTAGGAAGACTCTTCCAGAGGTAATAAACCAAGATTGGACAAAAAAGTATCTCATCTTGGAAGGATACCAAATGCTTAAATGCTGTTCATATTAAATAACTATTGGTTGTTTTTTTCTTTTTAAATATAATATTAGTCAAGGAAAATTTAGAAATGTGCCTTGGTCTTATTTGAGGTATTATAAATTTTTATATCCTGTCGTTCTAGTGCAATGTTCTTCGAATTTGGCAACATTTAAGATGTGTGAACTTCTAGGAGTTGAAGTCTCCAAGTTGCCAAGTTTGAAAAACACTGTTTTTGTGTGTGCACACCAATCAGGGCTGCTTATGTTGATTGAACTAAGTTCAACATTTCATTTAAAAGATAGAGAAGTGGTGATCCCTAAAAGAATCTAGATTTTTTTTAATGGCTTTAAATGTCACCATCAATACTTTGAATTCTGCCTGGAAACATTGTCTTATTTGGGACAAATGTCATTTTCCTGAGATTCTGCAAAGGTAGCCATAGGTCAAATGTGCTGTAATTACAATAGTCCAATTTATTTACAGCAAAGGCATGTACTACCATAGTTGATGCCTGGCTCATTACAGACAAATGGCATTGGCAAATAGTTTTAAAGTGGATGAAGATTCCTAGTTGCAGCTGCTAGTTAACCATCTAAGAGCAAACCTGAACCATAATTATCTCCAGACAAGAAGTTCTATAGAATGAGTACTACTTCTACCAGAACTGGATGAAATCCCATGTTCAAATCCTGACCTGGGTACCTCTCTCTTATCTAAATTAAGTTTCAGATTGTCAGCCTCATCTGGCCATTACTGCCATTAGACTTTAATTCAGAATATCAGCAGCATCCTAGGTAATAGCTGGTAGTATATGAAAACTAGAATAGAAGATGCATATCGCCCACACATTATTAGGGCACAGTGACTTCCAAATCTTCTGTTAATTTTTGTCTGAGTTTTCACATAGCTGTTAAATAATGTAGAGACAAGACTGAACCCCGAGAAACATCATATGCCCATGTTTGCGGGGGGGGGCTGACCATGTCCCTCAACATTACTTTCTAAAATTAATTTCCACTGAAGAAATTAAATCCTTGTAAGATGGTACTTACTGTATTTACAGAAGACTATACATCAGGAGACATGGGCCAATCTGAGAACTTAGCAGGAACATCAGGTCATTCTTATAGAAAAACAAGTGCAATTATACGACTCTACTTAATTTCTCCTCCTGCCCTGGGGAATGGAAAAACCTGCTGGTTCACCAAGGACTTCCTGTCTCTGTGACAGCAACAATCTTAAGCAGTGAGAATCAAGGTGTGTGTGGCAAAGAATGCTAGATAGATGGCTTGTTGGCTTGACCCAGCAGTGCTCTTTTTAATACATTAGAATTGTTGTTTATTTAGATTTTTTTTAAAAAAACTTGCTAATTGATACTTTTCTCCAAGTACACAACTAAAATTGAAACAATAACCTAGCAACATTTGAGGTAAGAGGAAGTGGTTACTTTAAATTATCCTAGCATAACTTAAATGTGTTTGCATGTGTGAATGGATTTTTGTAGGGTAAAACTGTCTTCTATCAGAGGTGTGAATGGCTGGTCTGAGTATGTAAATAATAGGAATAGAGAGTTCAGGCTAGCTGGGATAGAATGTAAAAAGGAATGAAAGTCTTAGTTCAAACAGAGCCGTTTGCTTGAATGTCCAATCTTGCATACTAAATAAGAATACCAACTTTAAATAGATAAAGATTTCCAATAGGAGAATCACATATCCTTTTTATTTCTGAATTATATAAAAAGTTAGCTTCCACAAAAGAAAAGAGCTTTGTCCATGAAATCACTTCAAGTCAAACTTGTCTCAATGGCATCTAATTGACTAATGAACTCTAATTCATCTGCTCTAAGCAAAGTTGTAAGAGGGCAATGGAGAAGTGAAGAGGTTAAACATGAAGTTGGTAGAGGGTGTGGAGAATAAAAGGAGAATAGCAAAGAATGCTAAATTTTGGAGAAGAAAGTACAGAGGGGAAAAGAAAAGGATAACATCACAGCAAAACAAAATTCACTGTGCCCAAAAAAGAGTGAAAAAAACCTATTATTGACTGAAATGAAACGGGCTGCTATGTTTTTATAATGAATAGTCCATTATTTTTCTGCCCTTTCTGCAAACACCTAGGGCTCCAATTTGGCCAGTTCCAGAGGGTGTGAAAGTTCAGAGCCATATGCCAGTATTTGCTTTTCCTGATTTTTAAACACCAGAAACCACAGAGAAGAGGAGGCAGTTCAAATTTCACTTGCTTCCCGACATGGGTGCAAGTTACTCCCAGCAAGGGAGGACCAGACTCAAGCAGGGCAGATGAGAGAAGAAACACAGAACATCATCATTATTGTTATTACAGTGAAAGGTTGCAGTGTAAGCTAGAGTTCATTGTGCTGGGTAGGGTGCAAGCATGGAATCTGACAGAAAATAAGAACAACAGCTATAGGCTGCAAAACCAAACATACTTACCTGAAAGAAAATTGCTGTGCAGTGGATGAGGTACAATTTGCAAGGAAATATTCTTGCACTGTGAATTTAAAAGGTTCTGGGATGGATTTATGCACCCTATAAAAAATGCAAATTGCCTCCCTGTAACTGGCTAACCATGTTTTTGGCATTTGTCCAGCTCTGGCCTTCTCTTATTTGCTTGATTATAGCTCTGACTCTTTGGTTCAGTGTTTTCCTCTTAGGGCAACATCAGGAATTCATGCACCATATTTTTGGAATATCATTATCTCTTACTTTTAGTCACCCATATCCTCAGGATGAGACAGCTGTTATCCCCTTAGTTTCTCAGTTATACAAACGTATGTAGAAATTAATAACTGTTTTTGGAAGGGTTTCTAAGTGGTTCATTTTTTTCCTTTTAAGAATTGCTTTTCTGGCACCCCTGTATTATTTTACTAATTCATCTGTCAATTAAAGCATGTATCCCAAGTCTATCATCACTTTCTTCTACAGTATTCTCCAAATTTTGTACAGTTTCCTATAAAAGTGGGTTTCATGCTAGATTATATCTGCCATATATTCAGTTTTTCCAAATAATGCCCTTTAGATGTATTGGAGCAATTTCATACATCCCTAAAAATAATATTGCTATCAAATACTAATAGATCTGGAAGGCATGAACATGAAAAACATGGGGCAGATAGCATCTAGAGTACACAGAGTGTTGTGATGAATATCTGTACAGTTATCAGTGAACTACTTCAGGAAGGCAAAACTTGTAATCTATGTCTGTGAGGTATGCCTATTGTCAAATCGTTCTCCATTTCACCACGCAACATCAGATAAT